CTTCCGATCTTCTCCAGTGACCACTGATACCTCAGCAGAGGCCCCATCTTATCTCCAGTGACCACTGATACCTCAGCAGAGGCCCCACCCTATCTCCAGTGACCACTGATGCCTCAGCAGAGGCCCCACCTTATCTCCAGTGACCACTGATACCTCAGCAGAGGCCCCATCTTATCTCCAGTGACCACTGATGCCTCAGCAGAGGCCCCACCCTATCTCCAGTGACCACTGATGCCTCAGCAGAGGCCCCACCTTATCTCCAGTGACCACTGATACCTCAGCAGAGGCCCCACCCTATCTCCAGTGACCACTGATGCCTCAGCAGAGGCCCCACCTTATCTCCAGTGACCACTGATACCTCAGCAGAGGCCCCACCCTATCTCCAGTGACCCCGCTGCCTCCTTCATGAATATCACATGTGTCCCCTTCACATTTATGCACCACTCCCCACTGAAGGCTCTGGGTGCTGGCAGGGCTGGGAAGAGTCCAGCCTGCATCCCTCCAGCCTCCCATCAGGACCTGGATAGATGTGAACATGAGCAGAGTAGCCCATGTGCAGGTCATGCACTCAGGTCAGCAGGTAGGCATGAGAGGGAAGGTTCAGACAGGGCGGCATGACTATCACTGGGCTGAAACCTCCCAGCAGGCCAGCACACACCTCAGCTCTCTTCCTAAGGGCACCAGCAAACCACAGGTGTCCCCAGAAAAGCTCTGGGCAGCAAAGGAAAGCCAACGCGGCCCAGCTCCGTCTTAACTAGGTCTCCCTGTGCCCTGTGTGCACGGCTAAACCAGTTTGTATGGAGCCCTCAAGAGGTTGTTGGAGCTGGGTGTGACGGCGCAGACCTGCAATCCTAGTACCACAAAGGAGGACTGCAAGTTCAAAGCCTGTCTAGGATTCAAGTGCAAGACTAGTTCGGCAACTTAGTGAAATTCTGTCTCAAACTAAAAAGAAGGAAAAAAGGGCTGGGGATGTAGCTGCACAATAGAGGGTTGCCTGGCCAGTGGGAGGCCCTGGGTTCATTCCCCAGTGCTGGAAAATGTGGAGGGGGAGGGGGGGAGGAGGAGGAGGGGGAGGAAGAAGTTGCTCTGGAAAGAAAGGAAAGAGGAAGGGAGGAAGGAAGGAGGAAGGAGGGAGGGACGGAGGGAGGGACGGAGGGAGGGAGGGAGGGACGGAGGGAGGAGAGAGGAAGGGCAGGACATGCAGTCAGGACCACAGTTGTGCTTTACGGAATTGGAGGCCCATACCCCCAAAGGCCTGGAGGACACTGAGGCTCACACACAACTTGGAGCTCTGGAACTCTGCTCCTCCCAGACTTGGGCTCCTGGCTCCTCTACTGTCTGGGACCTTCTGCCCTCTGGATCCTTGGGAGCAGGTGGCCATGGCCACCTCTGTGTCATAGGTCAGGTACCAGCTGCACATCATGGACTCTGGGACACCAGCCTTCCCTTTGTGGCCTGGGCTAGCTGTACATTCTGGGTACTGCCTCCCATTTGCACAGAGGGCTCCTTCACATGCTGTCCAGTCCCACCACCACACAAAGTTCCTGCTACAATCCATGTCACTTGAATAGCCACCTGCTCACTGTGGAGGTGGGTGACAACAGATTAGAGAACACCTAAAAGCCCACCATGGAACCTTCTCTGGCCAGTCCTGCTGGTGGAGGGGGCTGTCCAGAAGAGACAGTCTTACCGGGTTCTGGTGCTGTCCAGGCCTCACATTTGAAGTGCTCACTGGGATCTGATGGCTGCCCAATTCCAGCCAGGTTGACAGCAGCGACTTTGAACTCATACAATGAGCCTCCCATCAAGCCCTCCACCTGTGTGGATTATGTTTCAATTAATGTAAGATGTCAGAGCTGTATTACAACATACCAAGACAGAGGACTCTCAAGATGAGTTTGCAAAGTAAAAAATGATGTAAGCGGATGGACAGTGTTGGCACATTAAACTAAGTCACTTAAGGAGGCCATTTCTGTACCTAGCACGCAGCAGACATGGCATCAACCCTCTAAGTGTCCCTACAATGACGATGAGCTCTGGGCAGGTAAGGAACTGAGCTAAGAGCAAACCAGGAGCAGAGGAGCCAGCCCCAAGCCCTGCTCTGTCACTGCAGACTTGAAGCTTGGTGGGATGGGGCTAGCAGGAGCCCTGTCTCCAGCCTGGGTGCGTGATGCTCAGTGGCCCAGTCACCCGCAGCCACCATTTAATCCACTAGACTATAAGACGGTTACTGAGTTGGCATGGCTTCTTGGTTCCTATAGTCCACAGCCTGCACTGGCCTTTGGGCATCTCTGCCAATCATGGGAAAGGCCCTAAAGCGACACCTTTGAGCCAGCAGCCCACTGGGTGGAAGTCACCTTGAAGTGAGTGCGATTAGAAAATAGGAAAATTGAGGTTCCAAAGTAAGACCTTGGCAGTTAAACTGCTTTTCTCCCTGGGGACAGAGTCCATTTCCCTGAGGCTAATTGTACCCACAGAGGTTCTTGCCAGGGACACGGGCCCAAAAGAATCACTAGAGGCTGAGCGTGAGCTTGGCAAGTGTCAAAAATGTCACTTCAAACTTGGGTGTGCAGCACACATACCATAACATGTATGTGTCATAAATATATTTTAAATATTGTGTAGGTGTATATTATAAAGATAATATATCATTAAGCAGAATTTTCTACAAGACAGATATTGATTCCTAAGAACACTACCAAAATTCTCATTTTTCTGTCATCTCTCCTATGATCAGCCCTTCCATTGAGGTGATGGGATGAACTCCTTCATCAGATGAGGAATCACAGACTCAAGTGAAATCAAAGCCAAGAGTCTGGATTCGATTCCAGATCTCTCACTCCCTCTGCACCGGAGTGTCCTGCACTGGGGCAGGAGATCGGAAACGCTGGGGTTTCTAGGGGAGAGTGGCCAGCAACAGAGAGTGAGTCACCCTCCCATTAGCACTTCCTCAGCTCCACCCCAACCCTGGTGCCAGGCTCTGACCCAGACAGAACACAGTACCCCTGCCTTCCAGGGCTGGTGATGAACGGACAGTTACACCTGCTTAATTACTGTCCACCCCTCTTTACTGCTTCTCAGCTTCCTGAGATCCTTCTAGTTCCAAAATGCCATGCCCTCCTAATTCACCCATTTTCGATCTATCTCTGTTTCACTATCAAAGGGCCCAACACTCCTGAACTCTGAATGAAAGAGTCTGCCCAGAGTGCAAAGGTCACCCAGGCAAAAGCAAAGGAAAAAAACAAAAACCAACCGTTAATATCCTCTCTTTGACAGGAGAAGGGTTGACCTCGTGCCAGTTCTTGTGATGGACTTCCCGCTTGTCCAGGTAGTAACCCAGGATGGTTGAGCCACCGCTAAATTTAGGCACCTTCCAGCCGAGGGTCATGGAGTGGCCATCACAGTTGAGAAGGGTGATCCCGTACGGAGAGGAGGGGACAGCTATGACGATAGAGAAGCATGACAGTCACCCGGGCCTGAGCTCCCCATCCCACCAAGCATCCAGTTCTGGAGTTGCAGAGGCAGCAGGAGGCAGTCCTGAGTGTGCTCCGCCCTTAGCCACCACTGTTTCCACAGCTTCCTAAAGGGGTTGAGTTTAAAAGTTTCTCTTGTATGCATTCTTTGCTCTTTCTAAACGCATCTACAGCTGTCTCGATAGGAGGACAGTGGCTGCTTTAAATCTGGTCTGGACACAGACAGCAGTTTCCTCAGGCCCCTGTGGCAAAAGTGAAATGGAGCTCTCTCATCTGCAACAGTGAAGAACCATCACGACACGGTCAGAGGGGGCAGCGCCTCCCATTATGTGTGTTTTAACTTCCCACAAGTCATGGGAACATCAGACCAAGGGAGGTACATGGCTCACGTTCCCCTGTCAGGTCACCACGTCTAGAGGGGCACCACCTTCCCTAATGGGCTGAGAAGGAGCACACTCCAGCCTCTGTCTGACCAGCACCTGACTGAGGGGCAGTGAGTTAGAAGTGAGCAGTTCCCACTGAGAACAAGCCTGAAGAGGTGTGTGGGATGCCTACAAGTCCCTGCAGGGAAGCAGAGAGAGGTGGAAAACCGAACCCTACATAGCTGAGACAATCCCTGGCTCCCATGCTCACCTGGGAGTTATCGGACTCAAATTTCCTCAGAAATCCCAGGATCCTCAGGAGGGAACCCTTAACCTCTGAAAATGTTGGCAAACACAACTAGATATCAAAAACTATTAAAAACCTGAACTTTCTCAGATGTGAAAAAACAGCATCAGGGAAAACCCTTTGGATGTCACGTTGCTTCAGAATTCTCCTGGGTACGCTCAACGACATGCCGTACGCAACAGGACTGCAGCGACAACTGTAAGGCTGAACTCCGTAGATCAACTTGCTTAGGGGCTGCAGGAAGAGCCTGGCTCCGGACCAGGGAGGTGGCTCAATGCATAAAATGCTTGCTGCATAACATCAAGGTCGAAATTAGGGTCCCCAGCGCCCTGTAAGTTCCAGGTGGACAGGCAGCCCATCTGCAATTCCAACACTAAGAAGGCAGAAACAGAATCCCCACAGCAAGTTGGGTAGCTAAACTAGCCTCATCAGCAAGCTCTGGGCTCAACAGAGAGGCCCTGCCTCAGTAAATAAAGTGCAGATCAGTCTAGGAAGGCGTCTGACATCAGCCTCAGGCCTCCACGTTTACTCAGATGTGTGTGCATGAATGTACACACACTCAAGCCAGACACACATGTATACATATCCCAGACATAGACACATAGCAAAAAAATGGATCTGAATTGTCTCATTTGATCAAAACAGCAGACATTTTAAGCATTATTATTCATAGATTAGGCCAGGAAGAGTTGAGTATCATAAACATGAAGTTCTCCAAAATGCCACCAATGATTGATCTTTGCACATATTTTTTAGAAAGGGCAGTCACTGTTGACAACATACATCCTCATGTAAGTGCAGATGCTCAGAAACTAACAGGCTGTTGTGATGTCTTCACTTAGCACTGCAGTGCCCTGCCACTGTGCCCTTCCACACCCACTTCCAAGACAAACAGACCATTGAGAGGTCAGAAAACTTGAGCTCTGTTTAAAGCCTCCAGCGCCCTGCTCCCATTGCCTTTGCCCCTGGCCACGTCTAGATGGTAAGGAAAGGCTTGTACATGCAGAAATTACCACCCTAGAGAACCAAAACCAAGACAGAAGAGCCCGTGAGCTACGTACTGAGGGCTGCCTGGACCTTAATGGCCTCCGACTCCTGTGAGTTTTCGCTGGTGCCCACAGCGTTGACGGCCTTTACCCTGAAGATGTACTGCTCACCGGTGGTTAAGCCGTGTACCACGAACCTGAGGAACATGAATGAGGGTCACAACACAAATCCCAGTTTGCTGCTTCCTGCAGCTGAAGTCCAAGTCACTGGGGGTGCGCCATAATGGCCTAAGCCTGTTTACTTTCTGTGCTTCCTGGACATACGACATGCATCCTTCTGTTTTTGTAAAGTGTGTGTGAATGCTTTGCCTATTTGTAAGCACAGGCATGTTATTCAGTGTGGGAGAAGGGCCAGAAGAGGGTGTTGGATCTCCTAGAACTGGAGTTAGGGATGGTTGTTAACCACTATGTGGGTGCTGGGAACTGAACCCAGGTCCTCTGCAAGAGCAGCCAGTGCTCTTAACCACTGAGCCATCTTTCCAATCCCACATCATTTTAAATTTCTGGAATTTATTTCACATTCAGAAACCAAGACAACAGCACACGATGATACCAGGTTTAGTGTCAATTTTTGCATTTGGGACCTGTCTGGATTGAAAATCTATCATGAAACAGTGTCTAACTCCTACCCTCCAGGAGCCCCATGCATCTAAAACTATATGCAGGGCAGTTGTGCCGCAGTGAGAGGACCTTGAAGTCACACAGAACAGACAGGAGAATTGGCTTCAACACCTGGCAGACCACATGTCTGTCACCAAGCTCCTCAACCCCTGCAATGCTCTGTTCGCCATGCTGGGGAGAGGGGATGCTTGGACCTGTCTCAAAGCACTGCCATAATCATTACATGGAAAACTACCCAGAAGGAACTGGGACCACCTGCCTTGACGGAGCAAGAACTCCACAGGTATAAGCAATTATTAAGAATCTGTAGTCAATACCGTCTGCCAGCCCTTCGCCAAATCCCTCCGAGATTAATTCTTATGTTTCTTCCTTTGACAGGTCTTTTCTGTACTTGTTGGCTGTGGGCTATTAGAAAATCTAGCTATTAGCCATGTGTGGTAGCCCACACCTTTAATCCCAGCACTTGGGAGGCAGAGGCAGGCAGATTTTGTAAGATCAAGACCAGCTTAGTCTACAAAACAAGTTCCAAAACAGCTACCTAAAAAAAAAAAAAAAAGAAAGAAAAAGAAAAAAGAAAAAAAAAAGAAACCTGAAAACAAGAAAATATCTAATTATTATAGTCACAGATTTTTACAATATACCTTTTCTAAAAAAAAATTTAAAGGAAAGATGGCGAGGCTGCCTGGGAACTTCTTCCTTCCTGTGAAGTGTGTCATACAGAAAACACAAGCCCAGATGATCCCTGCATCCCAGGCAGAAAGCAGAAGTAGAGGAATTGCAGACACCAGCTTCCCACTGCGGAGGGACGGGTCTGCTCTCCCCTCCTCTGCCCAGTGGGGCGGGGGACACTCACTGTCCTGTCTGCTTCGGGGCTGGAGGACACAACTGCCCTTAGGTGAGCAAAGCCAGGTTAGCCCTTCTGTGCCATGAGTATTGAGATGTCATTTTGAACCCCACATTAGTAAAAATCTTAAAAACATATTTAAGGAAACGGGCAAGAACTGTTACCCTTATGCTGTACACATACGCCCAATTATTGCAGTGTGCCCCATACATTTGTTCAAGAACAATAATAATCATTATATATAATAGAAAAATGGAACCAAAAGTTCTTTCAATCAACAGACAAGTCTTCTCAGTGCCCTGACCAGCCCACCTCAAGTTAGGACTTTAGTACATCATGCCCCCACATGTGACTAAGCAAAGAGACCACTTTTAAAGAAGAATGGAGTGTTCTGAGGGTGGTCTCTCCAGCTCTGTGAGCTGCAAGGTGCCTAGTGCCCTGCCTTTGCCTCTGTGGCAGGGACTGGCTGCAGGGCAGTGGGGTAGGGCACCTGTTGTATCCGATGGGCTTGTGGTTGCACGGCTCCCACAGGTTCGTCCCCACCACACAGCAGTCCACATAGTAGCCCAACAGGTCCTCTTCGTGCTTTGGCCTATCCCACTGCACCACAACGGATGTCTTGGTGTTCCGGGAGGCGAGTACCCGACCAGGAGCAGAGGGGACCACTGAGGGAACGGCAGAGGGCATACGATCAGAGTGGGGGCCATCCCAGAGACAGCTACTTTGCCCCAAGGAGTAAAAGCCAGGTTCAAGGCTCTGGGTAGAATTTGGACAAGAAAATGGCGAGTCCTGGGTGGGGCTATGAGACCGGAGGCTTCGGCATCCTGCCTGACTCTGACAGGCAAAGAATCCCCACCATGAAATTCTCATCTCCACCGGGACTCCTAAAAAGCTCTGCTGCATGAAGCCTTTGCCCAATTGGGTGGCAGCCATGTTTGGAATAAGACACATTGATATCCAGTTGTTGGGAATCTAGATAGAGACTCAGAACTAAATCACAGTTTAACCATCACCTCTGGCCACCTACTGCCAGTCCCCAGAGGGCTATGGTCAGAGGTCCTTTAGCCTAGAGTCACCAAGCACCCAGAGTCACCTCAACCACCTGCCCCAGGGTTTGTTCCATACTGCCACTCTCCACACATGTCACTAAGGAAGGAAAATGGCAGCACTTCTCTATAGCTGTGGTTCTGTGTTCGAGAGCTAAGAGGCTGGGCGACATCCGAGCCACACCACACCTGAGGAGGATCTAAAGGTGGCCTGAGCCTTCATCGCTGATGCCAGCTCACTATGATAGCTTTCTCATACAGTGTGGCACAAAGTGGAGAGGGCCCAGAGCTGTCCTGGTGCGCAGAACTGGAATGCCTGATACCAGACTTTTGGGGTTAAGGAGGCCCATTTTGATGGCTACATTTTAGAGTGGACTGCAATTCAGAATTCCTATGATTCACGTGTGAAGTGGACTCCAAGCCTCGAAGCCCCTACTCATAACTCCAGAATCTTTCTTCACTCTCAAAGACACAAGGGACACCTTATCCCAGCTTGTAATGCATCTGATGATAACTTACCAATCATGTCCTGTGCCTGGATAGGAGGTGTCATCTCCGATGGGTCACTCAGGCCATGCTTATTGGCCGACAAAACCCGGAACACATAGGACTTCCCTTCAGCCAGGTCAAAGACAGCGTATCGAGGTGATCTCACTGCTGTTTGAGCATTGACTCGCTGCCAGCTGCCGCTCCCGACAACAGACTGCAGGTAGAAAAGAGCACGGGTTGAGGGCAGATCCCGGAAAGATGCACTTCAGCTAAGTCCGAGGGGTCCTGCACAGCACGAACAAGATACTGCTTTGGGATTTCATGAGACGATGGCAGTTTAGAGAAGTGGGTGTAAAAGGCTGTGAATTTTAACAAGAATTCTTTCCCACCAAAATGAATAAAGTATAAACTTACAGTAATCAGCATGTAGGTTGTAGTCTTACCAAAATGAATGAACTATCAACAATTAGAGATAGTTCAGGAGAATACTCATGAAATTTCATCGCCACTTAGTGAGTCACAATTCAGTTAAAATTTTTACTGTCTTCAATTACTTACAGAAATGACATGACATGTCCCCAACAGCATGAGGTACACAGTGACGAGTTCATGTGTCTAAACCATGGAGCTGCTTAGGCTATTGAAACCTTTAACCAATGGGAGGAATTACATCATCTCATTAAACTCAGTGCACAGATGCATAAACACTAAACACATCCAGCACAGTTTAACAGTGGTTATTTCATGAAGGGGTTACTGATAACTTTAACTTTATTCTGTAACTTCTCTGTATTCTTGTGATTTTTTAAAATATTTTATTTTTATTATTATATGTTAAGAGCAAATTGCCTATATGTATGTATAAGTGCACCCGTGTCATGTAATGCCTGTAGACGTCAGAAGAGGGCATTAGATTCCCTGGAACTGGAGTTACAAATGGTTGTTAGCCACCATGTGAGTACTGGGAATCAAACTCAAGTCCTCTGCAAGAGTAGCCAGTGCTCTTAACTGCTGAGCCATCTCTCCAGTCCCTCTTGTGACTTTTATACTATAATAGATATGTAATCTTTTTTTTTTTTTTTTTTTTTGTTTTTTTTAAAAAGGGTCCCCCTGTACCCCCAAATGTCCT